CAGAGCATCAGCGGGGTGCTGAGGGGCCCCTGGGCTGAGCTGGCTGCAGGGGAGGAGTGTCCAGAGAGTGAGGGAATCATCGAAGGCTGGGCAGGCTTTTCTCAGGCCCAGGCGATGTTCTAGTCACAAGTCACAGAGAAATGTTGGTGGATGTGCCCTGGGGGAGACCATAAAAATGCAGTCAGCTGCCTGACCAGGTGGGGAGCACAGCCACAAAGGGGGAGGTCGCAGTGTCCCACAAGCAGGCTTTGCTCCCAGGTCCTCAACTCAGCTTGGATCCCTTCAAGAGAGTGTCAGGTTCCTGCAGGCTTCGGGGGCTGAGTCTGCAAAGCTGTCTCCGAATACCTCAGGGCTAGTGGGAGGGACAGCATCAGACCCTCAGGTGCTGTGGAGGAGAGGGGACAGCCCGAGGGCAGGGACACAGGGATAAGAGTGACACACAGGCCAGTTAGGAGGTGTGGTTTACTGTCTGGCCTTTGGAAAAAGGGGAGAATGATAGGCACGGTGTCCGAAAGCTCTGGAAAGGACTACGGGCCACAAATCCACGCAAGGCCCTCACTCTACCTCCATAGCACATGCCTCACTGGGATGACTTCCTTTTGGGTTTTAGGCCCCCAGTCAAGCCTCAGCCAATACAGTGGTATTCTGAGCCCCCAGGGCGTGGAGGGGCTTGGCCCTGTCCCAGGGCATCAGCAAAAAGGGCAGAGGTTTGGGCATAGGGTGAATGCAAACCTGGAAAACGCTTCCACAGTCAACCAGATGCCTCCACCCAGCCCTGCTGTCTGTCGAGAACCTTCTGACCCCGGCCTGGGCCATGCAGGGTGTTGGTGGCATCTTGGCCCCTACCTGTGTAGCACCTTTAGCAGGTTTGGGAGGTTTAGTGGTTTGTTTTTTTGTTTTTGTTTTTGTTTTGTTTTTTGTTTTTTGTTTTTTTGTTTTTTTGGGGGGGTTTAACTCGGGTGCTCTACCACTGAGCGACATGCTCACCCCTTTTCTGTTTTTATGTTGAGGCAGAGTGCAGCTAAATTGTGCACTGTGACTTTGAACTTGTGATCTTCCTGCCTCAACCTAGAGTAGTTGCAATGGTAGGCATGCGCCACTAGTCCCAGCATCACCCCCAGTTTTGTTTGTTTTCTTTTGTTTTTTGAGACAGGGTCTCACTGTGTAGCTCAGGCTGGCCTCGAACTCGAGCAATCCTACCTCAGCTTTCAGGGTGCCGGGTTTACAAGCATGCGGCCCCACGCCCGGTAACATCCCCTAGTGTTGAAGACGTTGCCTAAAGACGCC